CCATCGCATACTGATAATGTTTTGTAGGTCGAACGAAAATGAAGTAGTTCTTCTTCAATATTTATCAGGCTACTAAAAGTAGAAATAGAGATAGTTTGAAACCAACTTGAAGCAAAATAGAAAACTAGATGATTTTTGTTCACAGAAAGACTACTTCTTCATAACTCGCAAATTTCGTTATAGTTATCGGCGATCTCAGATAAATTGTATGTGGTACTACCAATAAAAATTGACGACTATTTGGTTATTTAGGGAACTGGCATAATATCAATATCGGATTCGCTAATTAATTCTTGCAAATATCGAACATCAATCGATAGAGAATAGTAGTTTACTATCGGTGCACTTCTTTCAGGTGTTCGAGTAGCATGACAAAGAATAGACAGTGAATTTTATATTCTTCCTATGATATTGAACCAATTGGAGTTGATTTCTCTAATCTCTATTAGGTTTGCTATTCTAAATGAATATTATTCAGTAATTAAATGTATTGTTATAACATGCACTGGCACTCCGATTTTCATTCTATTGATTTGAGGTAGGAAACAATACTTTGAAAGATAGACATGTAACTGGTACATGAACTCACTTTCCAGCTATATCTTCCAAAACAATTTTGTCAGCTTATGTTAACAGTTTTGCTCGAACGATGAAAACATTTTGATTCAATTCGTCTTGAATTTTGTAATTATCATGTAGCGACAATACTTTGTCGCGAATTTGATAACGATGAGTAGATGTTGCTTCATCCAGAGAATCGATTGTTAAATATGCATGTGACATCTTCTGAAATATCTGATGAGAATGAACACAGATATATTATATTCGAGAAGTCTCAAGTATACTATTTTATACTACCATTCGGCTTATGTCACTATGAAGAAAAATATGTCAATATTTGAAATTCCATAGATAAAATTAACAATGGCAGATTCTTAATTTATTCTCTTCGTACTTTCTTTTTCATTAGTTCCTAGGTGAGTAATACTGATAAAGAAACCCTTACGCACGAACTTGCAAATGAATTAAAGAAAGACTGTAAAACTATCACGGATTGCATCTAATTATGTTTGTTTTTCTTGTTTGCATGCTTTTTTGTTCTTTTGGTTTATTTGTAATCAACAATGTTAGTAAAACATGTTCATTCTCAGTACTAGAAGTAAACCATGAAAAAATACCACATTTTTGTGAACATTTGTATAATAGTGTCTGTTTTTTTCTTGTATGATTGGTGCTATCAGACCATAGAGCGACTAGCTTGTTATAAGAGACTCTATCCGAATGTTTTTAAAACTTTTCTTCTTCTCGTCAATTAATAATATTTATTGACGCATGCGCTTAAATTTCAAAATGTCAAATAAACCAAGAAGAAAGATTAACTGATTGCCTCTTACGTCATTTTTTCAGTTATTTTTTTTTTGTTTCCGTATTATATTATATTTTCTTCGACATTTTATATTGATGTCATCAGTATCCTGAACGAGCACTTTTTTAAAATAATATTATTCTTGAGAAAACACTTTATTTTGTTAAATCTTTTGCTGGAAGATATTACATAATTTTTACAATTTGATGTTCGTTCGATAAATATATTTATTGAATGATTTTAAAAGGAAGACATAGTTGAAAAACTAATCTGAACATTTTCCAACGCATTAAAAGTTGAAAACCAAAAAATTAAACTTTTTCGATAATTACTTATGAATTATAGGAAGATATTTGTAATGAAGTCGAACTCAATTATTTAGAAAGAAGTTGTTGAAACTATACTCATTATTATGTCATTCAAAATCGATTACAATTTTTTTCTGATTATAATTTTATTTTTTCAGAAGATCTTTATGATCATTTGCATATCATTTCGTACTACTAGTCAATTAAAAGTTTCATATAACAACCAAAGATTATTTTCAATTCATCAGTACACATATATCCCTGTCAGAAACCAATAAATCAATGAGAATTAATAAAAAGATTGTGTAAACATACTGTAATTCAAGTTACATTGATTTAACTATTGTGGTTCGTCAAATAAAACTTCCAAGAAATTTTTCATAATCTCTAGAAAGAATGAAATTTTGCTTGATATGAAAATTATTAAATCAATTTCTTACATTCATCTCTACTTTAACGCTTACACTTACAATCTGTTTCATCCTGATAACTGACCTACATTATGTTGGTAAATGCACTTCGAAAGGTATTCGACTTGAAGATAGAGGAATCAGTTGATATTGATGAACAAAAAACATTTGAAGTTTACCAAATAGTGATTATCTTCTTATATTAATTGATATATTTGATAACATAAAAATAAAAATGTTAATGTTTCGATTACCAATGACCTTGTTTACAATGTTGTTATGTCATATAGAAGCTATATTTATTTCAACTATATTTATACTTTATTTTCTTTAATAATATTTTTACAATCTGAACAATACGGTAATAATGATAGAAAAAAGACATGTTCATCTTCTCATCAATACGATTATAATTAAAAAAAAACCAAAAAATATATCTGCATATAAAATGAAGACAATATATTTCTATGTAGTAACAAAGTTCTAAAGAAGATTAATGTTGACTGAACTTTCAACATTTGTTTCTATTTGATTTTATCAAAGAAATCAATTCATACAGTCAAAAATAACGATTATCTTGTAAAAAAAATCATATCGATTATATTTTTGCTTTGTCATAAGCATTTTACGTTATAAAACAGATGATATTTCCAATGAAAATAGTTCAGTGTTGTTTATATATACACTATAGAACTTTAAAAAAAAAATTATTATAAGAAATGAAATACAAGAAAACAACAGAGTTTCTCTTTGATGTTATCTAATAAATTGAAATGAAGCTATTCGGATTTTTCTACCTATTCAAGTTCTACAATAATTAGAGAATTTCTACCATTTCTACAATAGGTTTTAGATGATACTTGTTTAAGAAGAAAGTTATTCGTTTTTCTTCTTAAATTAGTCTATGAAAAATGAGATGAAATTTTACTCTATTCATCAATTATTATACTAGAGAGTAGAGCTAAGAGAACGACTATGCTTGTTCAGTTCACATCATCTATCATTTTACAATCATTTTAGTGCCGGTAAAACTTTTATATAAAAAACTGTGTCAATACATCGTTTATGTGTTAGAATCTCGTCAATTATACCCAATGAATGCTTGAAATTTTTATTATGTCTGCGTGAAAACCGCATGAATAACTGTAATCTATTATTCCATATATAATTTTTTGATATTGTTCGTCAACAATCATGAATTCATTAGTTTTGTTTTTTGGCAAAGATAATTGAGTTCAGTTGTAAGAAACTGAGTAATCATCGAGATGCTTAGATCTTCTGTCAAAAAGCTTGGTGAATCTTTTGGAATGCATATTTAGGATAAATACAATGGATATCGAAAATTTAAAGCAATATTTTTTTCGATTATCTATTGATAGAGAATTATTTTCATTGAAGAAATAATTTCCCTTTACGATGAAAAATGATTGTGATAGAGTGAAAAATACCTTAATTTGATGTTACAATATATGATCGAAGAGTTTCTTGTATTATTAAAGTTTTCCAGGAACGAAAAAAGCTAAGATTTGTTTTTTTTTTAATGACTCATTTTAAAACAAAGAAGATTTTCTACACAGATAGATACATTTATTGAACAATTAGATAAATTATATTTCGTTGAAAGTACAAAGAATATATCAAACTTCTGGAAACCTACGAAGGTAAATATAAAATAAATTTTCTTCCTATAAAAATACTATCTTAAGATGTAGTAACTTCGAATCATTCGCCTATTAAAATTGTATTGGTTTGGAATTTTATCAATTTTTCAGTAAGAAAAATTGACAAAACAAAAAATAGATGATAATGTTGTTACTCATTCTCATTCATAATGGCAATTAGATAGTATTATCCATGTTTAAAAATCTTACGAAATTTCAAAGAGTTTTCTTTTATTAAATACAAGAACGATGAGTTATAAAATCACTTGAAAAAATACAAACAACATCTATATATTGTTTGTCATCATGTAAAAATCTTAAGAAAAAAAAAGTCTACTGAAGTATTTTAGATTAGTTTGTTTATTGTGATATTCTAAGTATTGTTTTCATAAGCAAAGCTAAATTTAAAAAAAGAAATTCTTTTATTATTGTTTTATATTAATAAGTACGATAGTTCTTGATTTAATAAAAAGTAGAGATGGATTGCGTGTTCGATTGGATGGGTGCTTCGGCGGGAATTGAACCTGCAACGTTTTTGTCTTCATCAAAACAATCTACCATTGATTTACAAAGCGAAGTAATCGAGTTATTATAGCCTTCTCTACCGAATGCCTTAAAACAAAATAACAACGCTTTCATTTGCATTCATATTAATGTGGTGCAATTACACACGATATTAATATGCTTTTGCATCGATTCGCAGCCAGTTTCATCGATAAATAGTAAGATTTTTTTGCTTGTTTATGTGTTTTTAATTACTTTGAAATACAAGAAGAAAGCGATTTTAACAGAATAAAATATCTATCACAATAATAAATCATAATTTAATCTTGATTTATAATAATTGATAACAAACTATTGATTATTCCGAAAAAAATTCAATATGTTTGAACTTAACAATCAAAGATTAGCTATGAGTGAGTTTAAATCGAAGTAAAGAACTGAAATCGTCTTCAGTAAGATTGAACTTCGTATCGTTTTATCTGCTTTGTAAATATTTTTATTGTTTCTTAACAAAAAAAAAAAGAGAAGAATGAATAAATGTGCTATAGAGAAAAAAAGAAATAGTAATCAGTTTAGAAATTGATTTAACCAATTGGTGATTTAATCATCATTATATATATGAAGCTTAATTTTTTTTTTGTTTTGTTTAATTCATTGAAAAATAATTTAATCATATGTTCTGATTGATATATTAATTCATAAGATATAAAATTGTTTGAAATGATGAAATCAATGGATAGACATAAACAAATCATATTTGATGTGTACATGCTTTACTATTACCTCGGACAGACGAATGTTTTGGTTGAACATTTTTTTCACGATTGAATTTTGGCATTGTTTGATGACGTTGATCTATTCGAAAAGAAAACTCTTTTTAGTTTCTATCATATGAATAAATAAATAAAGGATTGTATTCACTTATGAGATTTGGTTTGAATTTGTATGGTTGAGGTGGATAATATGAATAAGTTTTAGGTTGATTTTGTACTTCAATAGATTGAGAAGATTTAACTTCATCTTCTTGATCACATTTTGTATTTGTAACATTAACAGATAATTTTGTTTTTTTAACAGTTCGAGGTGTTTTTACTTGTGTAATTTGTACTGGAGATGAGCATGGAATCTTTTTTTCAACATATTCTGGTACATCCCAATAATTTTTTGTTTGTTGCTTGTTGTTTACTTGTGATGGAAGGTCTAATGAAATAAGGTCAAAACAAGATGATTCTACTGCCTCTTCCTCGGTAGACAGACACGTAAAGGATTCAAAACGATTCTTTACTTCCATTATTTACCAACCACATCTGAATCGTCAGTTATGGTTTTGTATTGGATTGTTTTTTTCTTTCTTCATTTTTATACTTGACATATGTGCGTGGGTAATATAACTGCATTTCATTTTCGAATGCAATGTGAAATTACATGCATTAAGTGCAAAAACATATTTACATTACGATTGCGTTATTACTTTTTTTTCATAAATAACAAAAATTATTTCGAAATATAAAAAGATATTATTTAAAAGAAGAATTCTATATCGAATGAATAAAAAAAAAATGGTCTAATTATATTTATATTGTAGTAAAGAAACAAATGAGACATCAGGATGACATAAGAAAAGATAAAAAACTATATATCTCTTTTTGTTTTTATCTCATGTAGACTTGATGATTTGAAATCCGGTTAATGACAACTGTTGATACTTTATATTATCCTTGACCATCAATTACTGATTTATTTTTTCATATATTTCTTAATTTATTTATTACTGAGCTATGGGTCTATATTTATCGACATCGATCTTTTACATTTCTTGTTTTAGCGATGTTTTTTCCAAGTATATTTGCAATGACTATTCATATATATCACGGTTCATTTATCGATTTTATTAGATTTCTATTAGTTAACCTACAATGGTCAACTATCTATTGGTCGATAATCGAATGTTTAATTTCGATTTTTACAATCGTTATTTGTTGTTTAATAAATTATGTAATCGGTTGGGGTAAATTCCGTTCAAAAAAAAAGAAAAATCTCTATCAGTAGTACATGAACATAATAGTAAATTGATATATGGTTGGATACGAGCTATGGGAGAAGAAATTGGATGGCAATCTTATCTTTTACCTGGTTTATTAATTTATTATCATCCAATAGTTGCATTAAATATAAGTGGAATTGTATGGGGTTTACATCATGTACCTGCTATGACTCTCTTATGCTATCATTCATAATCTAAAGTTGAATATCTAATTCGTACAATTATTGTTCAATTTATGAGTTGTTGGATTTCAGCATATTTCTATGGATGGATTACAATTAAATGTAAATATTTCATGATACCACCGACAATGATTCATTTTATTTGGAATCAAATTAATCCTCGACTATTAGGATCAATTTATACAAATACATCAGGGTGGATGATTGGTCAACAATGGAAAATTAATGGAGTAGGTCTTATGGGATGTTTTGTTTATTTCATTGTAGCTATTATTATTATAATACAAATTTGATAATATTTTATCGATCCTATTTGATAAGTTCAAACTCCATTTTTTACCCTTTTATTTTTGTATCAAAAGTAAACAAACATTCGATTTATATATTTGAAGAGTAACAATTAGATTATCATTCTTCAGAAATTCTTATCAATTCATATTAATTGCAAGACAATGATAGATTAGTTAAATATTGAGAAAAAAAAACATCTATTTTACGATCGGTTAAGAAAAGTCGTGATTATTTTTAATTTTATGACTATTATTTCTTTTTCTATATAAATTAATCTATGTAATAAAATTATAAAACATAAATATATAATCAATATACAGAAGTGGTATTCTTTCATCTCTAGGTATATATTTTTCTTTTTTCTTTTCTCTACTTTGATAATAGTGGTGTGGAAAGGATAAGATAATAATACTAATAGGAAACATCAACTATGATTCTTTGTCCAGACAATTATCATTGTCTCATCATTCTTATTCTTGTATCATATATTTTGTTTGAAATTCTTCTTTCTTATCTTTGATTCTTTGGATTTTATTTTTTTTTTGTTGCTGTAATGTCGGATACCAGCAGTTCTTGTCTAATTGATTAGATCTATTAATAAAGTTGTTAATGATGGTTTAGATAGATTTTTAAATTCATTTTTTTTAATGATGAAGATCATTGTCGATAATAAATCCATTTATTGACTTAAACATGAATCGATAACGTTTGTTTTGGTGTTATTGAACTATATGTGAATTAGAATTCTCATCGTCTTTCTCTATTATTTTATCGTGTCCTTTCATTCATTTTGTAATCCCAACTTTTGTTTCATCATTGTAGATAGCATTGGGATGCGGAAGTACGGATGTATCCAATAGTTTTAAGCATACCCACACCGTTAGTTCGACACACGACGTGTTCAAAGATCAGTTTTTATGAATTTATCTATGATATAAGAAAGAGTAAAATTACCCCATAAAGTAGAAGCAAAATTTTCCGATGTATGTTATCGAAATGCATTCGAAATATTACCCAAATGTTTACCATATCAAGATCTAGCAATGTATATCTGATTCAGAATGATAATCTGAAAAAAGTTAACGGACCGATTTATGCTTTAATGCGCCCTCTCTTTTGTCTATCGATTGTCTACTGATTAATTAGTATTTATTTAAATTAAAGAAAATCTATCTAATTTGAATGTTTTTCAAAAGAGACTTATTAAAAATGATTTATTTAGTCATCTCACTTTGAAAAATGATCAAAAATAGTTTAATTTCGTTTTTGAAAACAAAATCAATTTTTTAAATTTTTTAAATTTTAAAAATAGTATTAAACTATTATTTATTTAATTTTTCATTGTAAATTTCATTTGAACGACTGAATTTTCAAAATTTTTATATTTTCGAAAAAGACTTAAATTGTTAAATAAAAGATCTCAATAAGGATTTTTATATTTGAATTATTTGTTTTATTATATCAACGATAAATATCATTTGATAATATTTAACTAGTTTTTTGGAATATTTGACAGATTTCAAAGAAGTTCTTTCGGAAAAGTGTAATCGTTAATAAATAAGATAAAAAATTGTCTCAATTGTTTTTTCTTTGTCAAATATACATTTCCAGATCTGTGAAAGTATTCTTCATTAGACAATCTATTGAAAAATAATCATTTCGAATTAATTGTTTTTTTTCATTTAATTAGTTTGAACTCTTGGGACTTTTTGTTCCAGTTTCTAAAAAAACAATCGTCGATGAAAATGAAATAAATCTTCATACTAATGATATAATAACAATTGATCTTTTTACTGATCAATAGTCAATTAAAATAGATTATCGAATATATTTCGAGAAATGTTCATCATGACTTTGACGATCTATTAAATTTGAAGAAAATAAATATTCACAATGTAATAATTCTTAATTAACTAGTCTTTGTTTAATATCATACTTATAAATTAATTTATTAATTGAATTCAAAAGTCATCTAACAAATATCAAAAGAAATTTTAATATCGTACAAAATTTATTTACAAAAATTGCGTCAATGAATAAAAGAATTAAATTTATTTAAAATGAATAAAAATCGAACAGCAAAAAGAGAAAAGTTTATTACACGTTTTTATTTAATTGATCTTTTGGTATGACTGAACTTTTGATTTAAGGAAGATAAGGAAATAATAAAGGTAAAATTGAAGAGTAAGACATATTTCCTATGTTACTTTTGATAATCATATATTTAATATGTATAATAGAAGATAGAGAAAATATTTCTTAATAAATATATTTAGTTCTAGATCCTTGTTAGAAAAATAAACAAATTATATAAAGATTCGAGCCTTTTTAATTAAATAAAAATGATTCAATTGAAAAAAATCTTTATTTGAGTTGAAAAGAATACTTTGTAAAAGCTATTGACCTGAAAAAAATGAAATTATTTATTCATCTACAAATGATTAAGATGAATTTTCTTTAAAAGAAAAACATTTTATTTTTTTTTGAAACATTCTTTCAAACAGATTAAGTAGTAACAAGTTTAACGTAGAACAGCTACTACATATCTTGTTCAATGTTTCAAATATCATATTGTTACAAAGCAATCGATCTATACACTGACCAATACATTCAAATGACAATAGTGGTGGATTTTTCTAAAACAAAAAATTCATAAAAAAATTTTTTTTTGTATTTAATAAAAGTTAATTTGTTAATTCTTTAAGCTATTGAACTAGAATCATTTTTTTCATTTTAATTGATCATAAATCAATGCATAAAGTTCATCGCAGTTCTTATGCCCATATCTGAAATCAGCATAGTTGATAATCTATAATTTTGAAGGTTTTATTGAAAAAGCGACTGAATAATTAAACATAAAATGATAAAGTTCAAAGATTTTATTCATGAAAAATCTTCTAATCACATACAAGCAGGAAAAATCAACAAAAATCTAATGTTCAATATGGTGATAAGACGAATAAAGGCATGATACTTAATATTATTTTTGTTGAAGCCATTACATATATTACATCATCACTAGGGAGAAAGGCCATCAAAAAGTGATATATGATGATGGAGAGAAAGCTGAAATCAAAAGTCATAATGGCGTTATTAATAGTTATGTCGCATTATTTCTTTCTCAGATAATAAAGACAAATGGCATGAGTTTTGGTTTGTGAAATGCAAAAATTAAAGTAAGTTATAATAAAATTGAGTCATTTTCTTTTTTCTTGGATCACCTCAATGTACTTTTTGAAAGTTACGCAATGTGGAATTTTATGTTCTTTGGTTCCATAATATTTTCGAAGTTAGTGATGCAAGCAAGACTTAGTTTATAAAACAATCATTCTTGCAATATCGAATACAGACTTTAATTGTGAACAAAAGTTATAAAACTGCTAAGGTGAAGAATAAATATTTTTTCACTTTGTATTTCGTTAAGGAAATCGATTCATTTGTCAGCATCATGAAATATATTGATTGACAAGACTATGTTTTATATGTATCAACATGTTGTCAGAGTTCTCGTTCGATTCGTTAATATTGGCA